GCATGAATACTTCTCGCATTGAGCCAAACTCATCAAAGGTGGAGTGATACCACTATTCGAACTCGTAGGAGCGCGTGTGGTATACCTCGTCAACTGAAGGCGAAACACTCGTGCATAAAGCCACTAATGCTCGCTACACGTGGATTGAACTGACATGAGGTAGATTAACATCTGAACTGCTTCTTTTAAGTTGGACTACGAAGTTAGTACCACTGAATCACAATTCTTTATACGTATGTTATTTCTTTAAAATCCTGCCACCCATCACCATCGCACAATGGGTCGAGTCAATTAGAGAGGTCGGACTTGCAATTTTTGACTAAAACTGCAAATTTCGATATAAATCTCGTCACATTTTAAATTTTAAGGAGTGCTAATAGAAGAAGAATCTACGAGGAAACCAATGAAATAATTCCTAGAGCCTCGAATGTTTGTATAAACGGAGTTGTAAGCGTTAAAAGTTTCCAAATTTTGTCCGACCTCCCCTATTGACTCGGTCCACGATGCGCCATATGCTCAGCTCGTGTTGGAAATTTTTCCATGGTTCAACTCGGTTTGAAAACTCGGCTGCATGAACCGAGTTCACGGTTTTCGAAACTAAGAGAGTGGTTACATGAACCGAACACTACGGCCGATATTGAACACCACCGTTTTGGTTCATAAGATCAAATTATGAACAAAATGCTCTGAAAATCAGAGGGAAATACATACAAATTTACCCCCTAAATTCGTTATTTGTCAAAGAAAATTTTGCGTCGTCTCAAGGCTCATACGGCGTTCTTCTTTAGCACGGAGAGCCGTACTTAGTATCTCATATCCTCTAATATTACACATTGACAGAGGCCACCAATAAGCATGGATGGAAGATTAGTGAATGAGCCGGGCGGTTTGTGTCGAAGACGACAGGTTCTTGCGATCAATCCGCGATTATAGTTCATCGTCTTATAGAGTGGAGTCAAAGAGAGTCGGGTGGGTTTGTAGAGATCTTGTCAACGTTCCAAATTTCGGTTGGTCACCGCCGCGTCGTCGCCGTCGGAACCTCGGTCAAAGTTCGCGAGAAATTCGACGCGACCTTCAGCCATGCTGACAACCACCCCGAACCCCCTCTTTTTCACTCTTTACGTCAAAGTGTGAAATTTTTCACTGCCTCCTTGCCATATTGCACGAAAAAAAAAATGAATGGCTGATATATCAATTAAAAGGAGAATTTGCAGGTATCTGATATTTGATGAATGGAGAATCTGCAGCACTGGAAAAAAAACACATTGGATCTAGAGTCCAGACTCTTGAAAACATTGACAAGAAAAAGGACTCTTGATTCAATCAGATTTAAGCTTAAATCAAAAGGAAATCCGCTCAAATTAAGAGGCTTGGTTCTAGATTTAAGCTTGAATCTGATCGAATCAAGAGTCCTTTTTCTTGTCAATGTTTTTAAGAGTCTGGACTCTGGAATCAATGTGTTTTTTTTCCAGTGAGGTGTCTGAAATTTGATGAATGGAGAATTTGCACGCACATTTTTCATTGCTTCATTTGAAAGTGCTTGAAGAGATGATTTCACCGTATTTTTTATAATGTTTTTCTGATATGGGAAATGGTATAAAAATAAATCTAAAAGTGAGAAAATTCACCGCCTAGTGACGTCATCTGGCGGCATTTCGCATTTAAACACATGTATTTTAGCAGGTTAGATCACGCTGTCATATCTTCTCCAATAATTGTTCAATTCATGAACCAAGGGTATCCTCGTGTTCAGTTCACACAGTAGTTTCCACTTAAACACGAAATTCATCAAATTTTAGACACCTGCAAATTCCCTATTGTTGACAATAAGTCTGACATGTTCCAAATGTATTTTTACAAAAGTGGAAAGCTAATTTAACCACCGGGAGGAGGGAGGATTAAATTAGCATATATTTCATCATAAAATCTACACAGAAAATGTCGGACACTTTTTTAACTACAAAAGTGTTACATCAGCAATATAATTTTTTCCAAGTGCCTTGAATCGACTAAGACCTTAACCCTTTTTGGCTCCAATCAAGTTTCGTCATACAGTGGACTTCCTCTGATTCAAATTTTTTTTTTTTTCATATTTGAGGGTTGAATTAAAGTAGGTAAATTCGATTAGAAGACGAAAAGAACACTTCTTCATAGATATCCATATTAGTGACCTGTGGTTTAATATGAGTGAATATGACGTTGGTTGGATGTCTTCGTGTTAGTTATCTTTAGATACCATATTATAGAATTAGCTGCATTTATTTTGTTTCATTTCAGCCGTGCAAAGAATCTGGCCGAGAAAAAAATCACTATACCTAGGTAAACGCTTTATCATCAACCATGCTGAAATTTGATGTGCATTTCGCGATTTGGCTCTAGATAACCCCAGTTTTTTTATTTTGGTTTAATTGGACGAACATGGAAAACACGAAGCGTCATTTCTCGGGCAAAGCTAATTCTTTACGAGAATCCACGGAAAAATGCGTAGCATTTGTGATGAAAAATGTCCAATAAATAAATTATAGAAGAAATTTGGCAATATTGAAATGCAGTTACGTTTTTTCGTCTAGGATACTACGTAATCTCAAGAGTTTATTTTAATAGCTCCAGATCTATTTACCGTGTTGAGCTCGATTTTTTTTATGAAAATACATAATTAACGACTTAAAGATATACCAGCCGAATAATTTTGATGATTTATACAATAAACATTTGGTCTCAATAGACTAAAACGTTGAAACCGAACATGCCTGAACGGAAGGCAGTTAAACAGACCTTGACCGTAGGGGCAGGAAATTAGCGCTCTTTTTGCTGCGAATAATTACACCGAAAGTTGAGACTGATTAATGTATTCCTAAATCGCGACAGTTCTTTGTCCGATCTCGCAAATAGCTCGTTCTCCCCCGTGTCTGAAGCCTGTTTAGAAAGGTATTTTAAGATCCAAATTAATCTAATAGCTTCGAAAAAAGTCCTTTCTACTGACATCGCGGAGCTATGGCATGGAAAGACACGAGACAGACCCCTCGCCCGCATAAAAAAGATCAAAGAACCCGCACGGTCACTACCGGCACATGCGCAACCGCCTAGAGAGATATTTTCGCCTTCAATCTGCCGTGATACCAAAAACAACTCCCGCGCCCAAATAGTTGCATCTAGGCCCCTTGAATTTTGCACGAGTTCATACCGTTGCCAGGAGAATACCGTCGTGCTAAGGAAGGAAGCCGCATGAGCCATCAGATGTTGCTAAATTTCCTTCGATAAAAATCGAATTTACTGGGAAAATTATGAATATTTCTTTCCAAAATTTTCGGACAATTTTACACACAATTTAATGTAAATTATCTGAGAAATGAAAAATATACACGAATGTCGTCAAAAATACATGTTTAATCGAGGAAAATTCCGCGACTATCAGATTCTCATACGGCGTTCTTCCTTAGCAGGCAGAATACTGTCGTGCAAGGAAGAAAGCCACATGAGCCATCAGATGTTGCCAAATTTCCTTCGATAAGAGCAGAATTTACTAGGAAAATCGTAATTTTTTCCCCAAACTTTTTAGACAATTTTGTACTCAATTTAATCTAAAATATCTTAAAATTTCAAGGAAAAATATGCTTAGATTTCGTCAAAAATACATGTTTAATCGAGGAAAATTCGGCGACTCTCGAATTCTCATACGGCGTTCTTCCTTAGCACACACGGAAAGAAAAGAATTGCTGATTCAGCAATTCAATTGCTGAAAACAGTGAGTGCAATGTTTCAACGCAGATTTTACAACAAAAAAATGTTACTTTAACCACCCCCGTGGTTAAATTAGTTTACAATGTGGTTAAATTAGTTTACAATTTTACAACAAAAAAATGCCACTTTAACCACATTGTAAACTAATTTAACCACGGGGGTGGTTAAAGTAACATTTTTTTGTTGTAAAATCTGCGTTGAAACATTGCACTCACTGTTTTTAGCAATTGAATTGTTGAATCAGCAATTTTTTTTCCGTGCAGCAGAATAAGCGAGCAAGAGGAAAAGTGATTTCGTCATGTTCTTTTGCAGGCAACTCTTGATTTCCCAGCCGACGGAACGTATTTCTATTCCGCGGTTGCAAAATCTACTCTCAATATTATTTTTCTCGCTTCCAAATGACTAAGTAATGGCTCCTCGAAATTTTGCTTCTTTTAAAAAATTATCCTCGAAAAATCTGTGAGATTTTAGTGAACAATTCTTAATAATGTCCCCGTAAAATACAAATTTTGAGCGGGAATTGGGCAACGGGAAAAAAGGGTTACGTTCTTTCGACACAAAACTGAGCCAACCAAAAGCGATTCTCGCACGATGGAAAAACTGGGTGTCGCGATTAATTGGATTTGCAATGTCCCTATATTTCGGTTCAATTTTGGCGAAATAAAGGCCAAATCTAGTGTGCAGACTCTCTATCAGTCACAGTTCCATTGACTTGCCCTCAGATCAGCTCCGTTTCACTCGCTTCTGCCTCGCGTGATTGCTAGATAGTGCTAGCAAAGTGCAACATCGACGGCGCTAGGATACAACTATTCGTACTTCGGCGCTGTTTGTGGTATCACGGCAATCTGAAGGCGAAAATAGCCCTCCGAGCGATTTGTATGTTGCGACTGGCCGGTGGAGGCTCTTTGATCTCTCTTTGGCACTAGCTTCGTTTTACGGTTTTTTTATGTTGTTGATATAAGTCTCCTTTTTTCGGCGCTATCACGATAGTCGGGTGGTTTTAACTCCGATCAGCCAGCCTATCGTCGAACGATGCCTTATCCACTCTCATATTTTACTTATTTAATAGGAGGGTTTTGACGGGGATTAAGCAAGTTGTTGTATAGTAATTAACAATTTAAAGGCAAATACAACAACAATTTACAATTTACAATCACAACAATTACAATTAGCATTTACAATTGACAATTTACTTTCAATTTAAAAAATTTAAATCAGGTGAGAAATTATTTATAAAAGATTTTTTTTGCTTGACTCACTTTTGGGTCGGTGCTGGGATCTAGTTCTGGGCCTGGTTCAGCCTGAGCAGGTGAACTCCAAGTGACGGCTCCCATCTAAAAAACCCCTTCTCATCAGAGGGTACTACAAAGGGCCTTCGTCAGGAATTCAGCTCTGCAACATAAAAGTTGGAATCGTTATTATAGTATACGTTATAAAATGCGTTAATAATAACAAATTGCATAAACTTAAAACTTTTTTGGCAAAACCGATTAATATCACTTACTTATTTTCTATTCACGATGGCCATTTCGGGCGGGCAGGCCGCCCGACACAACACACACAACAACAACGCAGCACAACAATAACTTTCAACAACACTACTCCACAACACAACACACAACAACAACTTAACAATAAGGCAGTCACCTGAAGATGGGCGGTCTGCCCGCCCGAAATGGCCATCGTGAATAGAAAATAAGTAAGTGATATTAATCGGTTTTGCCAAAAAAATTTTAAGTTTATGTAATTTGTGTATAGTGCCGATAAAATTTTACAACCGTGCAATATGCAACAACATAGTGTTAATAATAACGTTATTAGCAAGTATTTTCTCCGACGTTTCAATTTTGGAGAAAACCAGGTAGACACCAAATGAGAAATTACTGCAGTGCAAAATGACCGGCTTTTCCAAATTTTGCATTAAGGGTCAGAAGCAGGATTACAATTTTTAATGGAAAATAAACTTTTGAAATTTCATGAGAAATATCTCATGAAATTTTAGAAAAATATTGTTATTGAAAGTTATTGAAAAATATTTTTCGAAATTTAATGCCATGTAAATGAAAAGCAAAAGGTTTTTGCTTTTTGGTATTTTTCAGTGCGAGTTCCAGCCCCTGAAAATGTGATTCATATTTTTCGCAACTTTGAGCAATTCCATGAAATCTTCCATATTTATGATTTTACATGTGCAACCCTGGTCAATGCTTATGGGAGGCTACACTGACTTTGTACAGGAACCTTAATGCTTTTATGAAAGGTCCCCTGTTGACAATATCAGAATCAACAAATCTCGATCAATTATAAAATAGTGGATACTCAGCACTGACCTCACTTCGGAGATGTTGCACAAAATGTGAATTCCGCGGAACTCCACAAAAGACAAGAAAAATGAAGAACCGTTACGTTCGAAGAAAACACGCTTGTATTATGAGCGCATTAAAGACGTTCAAGATTACCATTATGATTTTTGCATCGGCGCAATATGTGCAAGGCGGCCCCTGCCAACAATCGCCGGGTTGCCACTTTTCCTGTAAAATTCATTGAACTCCCATTAATTGTTATTTGTGGAAAATCTTGCAGAACTTCAATCGAATTGGCAGTGGTGGGCAGTTGCTCTCGCGTCGACGTTTGATCGCGTCAGGTTTATTTCGCTTTTACCCTCGATCTACGTGATTCACTCGCCCTTTCTCATTGGTCCGTCTATATCCATCCTGACGTGACAATATGCAATATTTGTATCCCATTATGCAACCGATTTACTGATGGGCCAGCCGCAACTTATTGGATCTTAAGGTGGATCTTTGACTATTGGTTCCGCTTATAGATCGTATTCGATACGTCAAACGGGTGAGATTGTATCGATGTCGATTGGTTCAAAACATAAACATAGCCTCATAAGTCAATTGCACTGGAAAAAAATCACATTGGATCTAGAGTCCAGCCTCTTGAAAATATTGACAAGAAAAAGGACTATTATATATTATTATATTATGCATATATACCAACTATAATATACCGCATATTATAGTCAAAAGGAAGTTCGCTCAAATTAAGAGGCTTGGTTCTTGATTTAAGCTTAAAGTTGATTGAATCAAGAGTATTTTTTCCTGTCGATGTTTTTAAGAGTCTGGACTCTAGATCCAGTGTGTTTTTTTTTCCAGTGTGAGTAATCTAAAGGAACGGTTTTTGTGATAGATTTGTGATTCGTATGAGCACTAATTGGCTAAGAGTAGTGAAATTGCTACGAAATTTCTTATTCCCAGCTTTTCTGACAAATATCCTAAAATATTGGTTTGAGGTTATGTTCTATTATTTTGAACCAAACGATACATTGGTTCACGAATACGATCCCTTGTCACCCATTTCGATGTATTGTAGATTTTAACCATAGGCGGATCCAGACACTTTGAACGGGGGGAGGGCGAAAGTGGGGTCTGAGGGGCCTTCCCCAGATAGTTTTCGAAATTTTAAAGTATCTGAGGTGCAGTTTGAGTTAATATTGTTATGATGAATGATTACCAAATGTGAGCAAGCGTCCTTCCCCATGTAGCAGTGATCGCGATTATTTGCGATTTGACCGGAGAATGTAACGCGCTTTCATCGAGGTCGACTTTTTTCAATATTATCGGATGAAAAATTGCGATAAATTGCAATTTAACCACATGAATTTGCAATGAAATCGCGATTCTATCGACAGCAATTCGTCGCCATATTATCGAACAAAAAATTGTGGAAAATTGCGATGAAATTTTGATTTTATCAAAAACGGGTTTGAGAGATAAAATTGCCACAGATCGAAGATACTTTGATGTTGATGATCCTAGCGATTTTATCGCCATAAAATCGTAAAATTATCGCAATTTAATTTCAAAATATAGCAACTCTTCCGCAGTAAAATGCTAGTAGGATCCTTATCCTTGCCTATCCGATCCCCCCTTCTTTCTTTCTTTCCTCTCTTTTTCTTCTTCTTTTTCTTGAGTGAGGAGGAGGAGGGGTATTGCACGCTCCCTACATCACAAAGAATCGATTATTATGGTGTTCGTTGTGAAAACCCTGTCTCAAGTAGCACAGTGCAAAGAAAATATTGAAATATAATTGCAATTTTATTTCAATACAATTGTAATTTTTTTGCCATCAAATTGCAATATATTTACATAATGTAGTCTATTTATGCCGATTTTAAACAATCAACAAAATGAGTTCCATGTGTTAGAAAGATAGGCACTATGCAATGCAATGGTAAATTGCAACTTATTTCAATTGTATTGCAATAAGTTTCAATAAATTGGGCCCCTTCAAATAGGAGTTAGGCAACATACACAACACTCAGTTGAATATTGCAATATTTTTACTATGTAATTGCTACTTATTGCAATCTGTGCTACTTGGGGTTTATCGATCCTTTTCCATAGGTTCAAATGGCAGATCAATCGATATATCGCAAAGCACGGACACTAGTGGTGTCTACAATAACTTATTGAGACGCCTTGATGGTTTAAGTGGTAAAGTAGACAGTAAGGTCTTATTTAGTGGGAAGTCTGCGTCTTGGAGTAATTCGTTTGACCCGCAGTCGAATTCAATTTCTCCGAAAATAGGTGAGTTTATTTCATGTTTATTACGGAGCTGGTGCTTTGTCGTCACACGACTATTGTTGAGCGGGAGATTTGGCCGAATTCCCGAATCGTTAAACGGGATTACAGTCAGACGGAAACAACTTAAACGAGATCAAGAATTGAACGAAAGCGAGTTAACTCTTGCGTCGCGGGGATCCTCATCGTGTGTCAAATCGTCGTCTGACGTAAAGACGTATTTGTTCATATCCACATGAGCCCTGTTAAACATAGGATGATGCGGAGAAGGGAGCTCACGTGAAAATTCAGATGCGCTTTTATTTAAGAGGAGCGGCGGAATCTGGTCGGTGCGGAACGGAACTGTTTCTCTCTTTTACGATGCGGAAACCTAACATTTTTGAGACTTGTCTCGCCGATAGGCCAGTAACGTTAGTCTTAGGATCAAGTGGTGATTTCAGATTATAAATGGGATTAAAATGCCCTCGTTTGTGGGTTTATTTTGGATAATGTTCAGAATTTTGCGGAGTTAATCACAGATTTATACCTATTATGGTTGAGGTGGTTCTAAATCAAGGGTTTTCAGTTTGGTTAGAAAATTCAAGGTGGTTATAGGACATTTCGTCAACGATTTTTTGTCCGCGCGCCTATTTTTCCAGTAATTTACGTCCACGCTTTTTTTCGGCACGGGAGTTTTGGTCCACGTGCCAGTTGAGACCCAAAGTTAATTGGCCCACATGTAAATACAAACGACAATTGCTCGGGACGTTTTTGGATGAAAATGTAAAATGTCTTGAAAGAATAAGGGTTTGCTTGTTTTTTTTGTTTTATCTGTTTGGTCCAACGGAGAATATATAGCTGAGAGTTTTGGTAAAAATGGGGGAGCGTCAATTCCATGAGACAAAATTCACTAAAACTCTCTACACCTCTTTGGTGTAACAGGACTTAATGATCTTGCAAGAAACTCCCACCTTGTTACACCTGAACCGGATGAACCTTTATAGTTGCCTCAGCTAAAGGCTCTTGGATTTTTCCTGTGTACGATAAGTATCTTGATTTATTTTGCGAGGAAAAATCTGTAATTTTAAAGGATGCCTGTCATTCTTAATACGTTCAATTTCGTATAATCCTGTGCAACACCTCTGTTGTGAAATAGTTGCTTGATGTGCCGCGCCGCGGCACGGCGAGCGGGAGGTAAGCGCGAAACGCGCATTGGCGCCTACAAACCTAAGTGGATACTTCAAGCATTGTGCAATGCGTGAAGTATCCACTTAGGTTTGTAGGCGCCAGTGAGCCTGACGCGCTGGCAGCACGCCGCTCCGCTCTCTTAGGCTTTAATAATTATACTCACATAATCAGAGTTTTTTAACTCAGGATTTTGAAATGTTTGCAGACTCTGCATTGATTATTCTCATTCAAATTGATGGGGAAAAATATGTATCAATTTATCAAAGGAGAATAATAATATAATGTGTGTTTTTTAAATATTGGTGGTTCCGTGTCAAATTTAATGATTTCCAAAGCACTTTAACTGTTTCTTTTCCATTTTGTGCTTTTATTGTGCAGCAGCGAGGTGTACGCGCAACCAAACGCTCAAAATTTGACATATTTGACTCTAAAAGATCGATGTACAAATGGGTTGAAACTGAAGATTGCGTGCTTCTTGGTTTTTTCCCCCTCCTTTATTCATTTTTGCAGTTTCTGTCGGCACAACTGCGGCTCATTGAGATTAATGTTGCTTGGAAAAGGTTTTACAAATATTTGTCACGTTTTAAAAATATAAATGTTTTCAAAATGAAGTAATAATTTCGTACAGAAAAAATTAAAAAAATAAAAAAAAAAGTACCTATACATATATGAGGTATATTGTACATCGAATATTTTAAGGATAGAAATAAAACCAAATATTTACCAATGATATTTTAAAAAGATGGTTCAAAAGGAGAAAGTAATAATATTTCATTTAGAAAATGAGCAACTATAACAACACCTCCTCCTCTCTCAATTTCTCATCTCGATCCATATTGTCAATATAATTTTACATACCGACTAAAATACAATGCTTGGATCAAGTCACTATTGCTTATTTTACGTGTGGGCGTAAACTACTGGACAAAAAAGGTGCGCAGACAAAAAATCGTTGACAAAATGTCCTCGTCCTGATGCAACACCCGCGGTGATGCGTAGAAAAATAAAATTGCTGTTTTAACAATTTTGTAGTTAAGAAAAGTGTCCAACATGTTTCAATATAGATTTTACGATGAAAAAATGCTAATTTAGCCACCTCCGTGGTTAAATTAGCTTTCCGTTGTGTTCATATTTTTTAACAATTTAATTGTTAATTCAGCAATCCATTTTTTCCTGTGTGATTTCTAGCCCTATCCGGCACAGTTTACGGTTGTCCGTCTCCGGTGTGATGCGTGGCCATTAACATTGCCATTCCTCTCCTTTGTCTATAGCTTTATCTATAAATTTCAATAATCAGCCCGCAATGGTGTTTTTTCTAGCCCAATCCGGCACCGCTTACGGATGTCCGTCTACGGTGTGATACGTGGCCTGCAGGCTGATTATTTACTTCCCTCATCTATTGACCTTGATAGATGCGGGCTGCGTATCTATGAGACAGAGATTCCGAGCGATTCAGAACTAATTTTAATAGATATAGATCCAGCCATAGATCTACTGGTGGATGCGGATCCCCCGGCCCTAAGGCAGTAGATGCGGTGACATCTATTAAAACTGTGCTTCTGATTGGTCGAATGGTAGGGCCGCGGCGGGATTCGAACCCAGCATCGCTCGGATTGGAAGCGACTGAATATCGACACTGCTATCCTTTGCGTCACGGTAGCTGATAAGGCGGAGTTG